GTGGTGTTGGGGATTGAACACATGCTAGGCAGGTGCTCTACCACTAAGCTACACCACTAGCTCTTAGAGTTTTAAAAATGAGGCTTCTTACATAGAGATAAGAAAGAATAAGAATGATATAATTCACTAAATATTCTGCTAGAGAAACTCTAGGTGATGTAAATTTAAATTAATGGTCTTTACCCCAAGGTACTTAAATTTAGAAAAGCAATGCATGTATGCCGGTTAAGTGCACCCCAGACATAATACCAGGCACAACACAAAAGGCCTGGTAGATAAACAACAACAGAAAGGTGCCCTAAGCATTCAGAGTTCAAAGTCCCAGTATCCACACCCACTCACTTTATCTGTCAAGTAAGGATGCTAAATTTAATTTATAAGTATCCGGTTCATTGCAAAAATAGTTATAAATACCACAGGAAATTAGCTTAGATGGCATCTAGTATAACTCTGGCCATAAAATTCTGATTTTACTAATCTATAGAGAAGAGACTTTAGCCTACTGGGGAATTTCAGAAACAGGGAAACTAAGCTGAATGGAAGGACAGGAAGGTAGTTTTTACCATATTTCCCCCAAAATAAAACCAGGCTTTCTATTAATTTTAGCTCCAAAAGATGCAATTAGGGTTTATTTTCAAGGAATGACTTATTTTTCTCACATACAACAATCTACATTTGTTTATTTATTTATGCACAAAAATCTGCATTTATTCAAATCCAATCATCTTCTTCTGGAATATCTTCATAACTCTGCAAACCCTTAATTCTGGCCTGAATTGCTACAACTGTAAAATTTTAGGCCCCAATTTTTCATGACCAGCAATAGAGCTCTCCTTAAATGAGCAGTCTGTGTCTATGCAGCCTGCTCAGGGTACACTGGCAACAAGCTGTCAGTGATTTTACCCCATGAATTCTTCATCCAAGCCGCAGACCTCTTGCAGGGTAGTTGTCACAAAGTTTCCATTAAATCAAATGTTAATTGAAGACTTAGAAGACAGAAGCGGCAACAAAAATGATGACAGTTAAAAATGATGGTCCACACAAAAGCAATGAAAAATTGCAGGCACCAAAATTCAGAAGACTTATTTCGCACAAATGCATTAAGTATGTCCACTATAACACACGATGTAATGAATTAGAAAGATTCATATTAGACACAGCCAAGTCTGTTTGTTATCAAGTGTGCATGTTATTCACGTGTTGTGTCTACTCCAACTCGTCGTTCAGCAATAAGTCTCAAATTCCTCTGTTTACGTAAGCATTTACCTCTCATCCAAAGGTACTGGCTTAGGTATTTACAAATACCGAATTATAAAGTGTATAATTTAAGAGTTAATGTCAATATTATTTATATTTAATTATATACTAATATTACTTTATAATTCAACACAGTAGTCATATGCTACAATAGATCCACTAAATGCTGATGACCTCGGTGGGGCTTATTTTGGGAGTAGGGCTTATATTCCAAATACCCTGAAAAGTATTGCTAGAGCTTATTTTCTGGTTAGGTCTTCTTTTCAGAGAAATATGTTACTGATACAAACTTCTGTAGAAAGAATATGAGGGCACCAATGAGCAGTTTTCACAAGATGAAATGTAGTGAGATACAGTATAAGGTAGTAGTGTAAAGTCATTAGTAATCAAGGGAAGGTAGAAAATAAACTGAAGCACCTTACCTCCTCTAGAAAGAACTCAATGAAGATCAAGCAATTAAATATGAAAAAAGAGAAATCATAGAGAGGTGATCTGGGAGTTAGATGGAGGGGAAACAAATTATGGCCACTTAGCCTTAGGGGAAAGGGGATATTCTTTTTCTTAGAGGATGAGTGAAGGATAAGGTGAAATACAAGATGCAAAGACTCTGTGGTTCTAAAGGAACAGATTATAAAATTAAAAGCAAATCTAGCTGGGCATAGTGGTGCACACTTGTAACCCTAATCTCTGCTACTCAAGAGGCTGAGTCAGGAGCATATGAGTTTGTGGCCAGCCTGGGAAATACAATAAGGTACACATCAAAGAAAAGGGGAGAGTGGATGGTAAGGCGAGAGAGAAGGAAATTAAATATAAACCTAACTTATTACATAAGTTTCAAAATGCCAGAATAAGGAGTACCTTAAAGCCTGAAAGTACTAACATAAGCAAATAAAGGAAACAAGAAAACAATATACCTATTCATTTGACATTTATTAAGCCCTTTGTATACTCAAAATGCAATTTTATTAAAAGTAGAACTTGTCCTCAAGAAACTCAGGTAGAGAGATACTAATGCACAAAAATAATTATAATACAATGTGGTCACGTGCAATAGTAGAGATTTGAGCTTGGTGGCAAAGGCCTGTAATCCCAGCACTCTGGCAGGCAGAGGCAGGGAGATATAAAATTTGAGTTCAGCTTAGGGAATTTAGGAAACCATGCCTCAACACAAAAATTTACAAAAGCCTAGGACTGTAGCTTAGTGCAAAAGCCATGGGCTTCATTACCAGTACCAAAGTTGGACAGGGAGAGAGGGGGAAAGAATGAGGAGAATATTATGGTAGCACTGGAAAAGGGCTTCTAGTCCAGTATAGGAAGACTGAAGACAGGTGGGAAAGGTCAGACTTCCTTCTAGAAAGGAGAAGGTGATTTCTGGGCTGAGACTCAAAATTGTAAAAATTAAAACATCAGGTAAGAGATGGGTTAAGTTAAAACAAGAAAAACTAGGCAATTGTATTTTAGGAAGGAGCATAAGCAAAGGCAGAGATGGGAGAAATACCACTTTAAATGAGGTTCAGATGAAGTCCTACCTCCTCTGTGAAACTTCTAGGGATCCAGCTCACACCATCTCCCTTTCCAAACCACGCAGACTGTCCAGATTACCTGATTCTGATATTTGATTAGCACCTAACTGTGCACACTGCCCCATTCTCCCATGGTCTCTTCCACATAACTTTATTATATCAGGGTATAAACCACCCATAAACAATGTTCTTTTTCATTAAATGCTGACAGGTTTATGAAAGGTTTATTAAGCTCCATGTGGGAAACAACCTTGAGAACACAGTGAATGTTTGATCAACATTATTTTAAATTTCTATAAATGATATAAAGTTATGAAAAACATTTTGAGTTTTTTGAAAGTATACCAATATGAGTAAAACTTCTCTATTCTCAGTAAATCCTTGCTATATTTCTCTTTATTTTAAGAAAAAGAGTAGCACTTTCATATATGAATTTTAGAAATTTAGAAATATTTAAACTAAACATGAACAGTTTGAGATGTGTAAAGAAATAATAGAAATGAAAACTCTTCCCATATCAAGATGATCATGAAATAAACTACTACAGGTACTATAAATTCAACTAATCTAAAACAACACAATAGACACTTTTGGATCAAGGACATCAACAATGATTTTGGTCACCTTATAAATATATGAAAATTCTTAAAATACTGCTTAAACAATTATAATATTTAATTAAACTACAAAATTTTCAACTATAAAACAAATTATCTAAATGACTTATAAAAAGGTGATCTAACATAACTAAACCTTGCTAATTGACATTAAAATTTAAAATAATAATTGTAGCTTTATAAGATGTTAAACAGTACCAGAGAATTTTCTTAAGGCTTTTTTCTTATTAACAGAAAAGCTGACTCGGCTTCCTCATTTATTTCTCTGTCAAAATTAGTAAATAAACTCAATGGGTTATAAAAACTATGTGAATAATTTCCAACAAAATTATCACCCAAATGTACACAAAAATATTTTTCCTTATTTATAAAATCCTTTCCCAAAATGTATTTAAAGGGACACAGGTCCACAAGATAGCTTTTTCTTTTTTTTTTTGAGACAGGGTATTATTACATAGTTCAGGTTGGCCTTGAGCTCACTATGTAGCTTGGACTGGCCTCCAACTCATGGCCATCCTCCTTCCTCAGCCTCCTGACTGCTGTGATTTCAGGTGTGTGCTGCCACACCCAGCAAGTCTTCACAATGAAATAAACCTGGGAAACAGTGCATACCAACTCCCCACACTAGAGACTGACAGTCTCAACAGCATAGTGAGAACCTGTTTAACTCTCACTTGCCAAGTTTACTTAACCATGAAACATTTTTCTGTAAGTTACAAGGCAAATATTCTAAAAAATGTGTACCCCAAAGAACACACTTTGAAAAAATTTAATCTACAAAATCGACCTATGTTCTCACTTCACTATTGGCATGGCCTAATTTAGTTATAAGGAATAATTTCCCAAGAAACGCTGTTTTCATTGAACTGTTACCAACACCAATAGAAGAACATTCTCTGTCAACAAAGATACTACATCAACTGCTTCTTTCCATTACCACCCTTTACAACTTTCCAAAGTGCGTTCCATTAATAAATTCTTCACACACACACACACACACACACACACACACACACCAGAACCCCATAGTGAAGTAAAACTACAGGTTATGATTCATTCATCAGTCAAGAAATGGGTCTTAACCTGAATTTTTTTAAATGAAAGGCTAAGCTAGAAAATATAAAAGTACTTTGATCAAAGGTAAATATTGCCTCGTGTACACCTCACTTCGGGTGTATATACACATATTTATGCCGGCCTGCAAGACAAATATCTTGTTGGTGCTGAGGAGCGAGCCCAGAATTTCTTCTCTGCCTAGCACACTCTTGAGGTATATTCCAGCCCCTACATTGTGTTTTTTTGTTTGTTTGTATGTGTGTGTGTCTTTTTGAGACAGGGTCTCGATATGCAGTTGAGGCTGGCCTTGAGCTCACTGTGTAGCCCAGGCTGGTCTCAAACTCGCAACGATCCTGCCTCAGCCTCCCGAGTGCTGGGATTAGAGGCGTGCGCCACCACGCCGGGCTCCTACATTGTATTTTCATTGTGAGCCTAACCTTTTCCGGCCACGGGAGTCTCTGAACCTAGAGCAGCTCACAGGGCCTGGGCTCCGCGGAGACACGGGCTGGAGGCCACACTGGCTTGGAAAGACGCGCCCCCTTCTCACCGACTGTCCCTGGGGTCGTCGGGCGCAGGCGCCGTCCCTCCCTTCCCGGCGCCCATCTCTGCTCCTCCTCCCAGCCTCGCCCTTCCCGGCCCGGCCCGCGCGTCCGTGACCGGGGCGGCTGGAGGGCGCCCAGGCTGCGGCCTCTCCGT